ATTTTAATTAAAATTTTTGATGACGATTTGTTTTTTTTGTTTTTTTTTGTGTCCCAGGAAGAAAAAGAGAGAAAGGAACAGGAGGAGGCTCGTAGGAAGCACGACGAGGACGCCAAGAAGAAGAAGGTCCTGACAAACATGACTCAGCAGTACGGCGGCCAGCAGAGGGTGGGTTTCCGTTTAAGTTCTTGTGCAAATGTGCTTTTATTTCATCCTCTCGCATTAACTCCCCTCTGCAGCCAGATGGAAAGAAAGGCGCGAAGAAGCAAACGGAACGAGAGAAGAAAAGGAAGATCCTGGCAGAGAGGAAGAAACCTCTCAGCATCGACCATCTCAACGAGGAAAAAGTCAAGTGAGGACAGACTGGAAGTGCAGATATTAATGGAGATTTATTTGTGATTTAACAGAATTTTCCATTTCCGTTCTAAAAGTGTTTTTATTTTTGTTTGTTTTGTTTAAGGGAGAAGGCCAACGAGCTCTGGCAGTGGCTGATGATGCTGGAGGCTGAGAAGTTTGACCTCACAGAGGAACTTAAGAGGCAGAAGTACGACGTGAGTAGGCTACTTCGCCTCAGGCTGCCAACGCTGGTTCCCCTTTTAGATCTGATATGTAAGCTGAAGACAAGATTCCACATAAAATATCATTGTAGGAATAAAAAAAGACATTTATTTCWACGATGTTAAATTATTACTAGAGAAACTGCATTTCTGCGAAAATYCTAATGTGACTGCATCTTGCTGAAAACTGCTGAAATGAAGCTGAAAATATTTAACAGCAAAGTTCAATTTAAAAAGCTGAAAGAAGCACAAAAAAGCAGAAATTAGCAAAATAATAGCAGAAAAGAGCAGAATTGGAGCTAAAATAGCAGAAAAAACTAAAATTATCATAAAAATAAGCTAAATGCAGCAACCACATGTTCAATTTTGGCACCCAGATGGTGAAAGTGCTGAAAAAATGTCAAATTAGCAAAAATAAAAAAGCGTGAAAGTACAAAAGTGTGATAATTTGTTGTAAAATAGCTCAAACAGCCAAATATTGCAGTAAAACAGCTAAAATGAAGCTGGAAATTCTTTAATTGGCATAAGGAGCACATTTTCAAATTGCTTTATTTGTTTATAGTTCTATAAAAAAGTTACTTCCCCAGCATTTTTGTAACATTTTTACTTTTAATAACGAATTTTACCAGTATTCAACTCGTAGAAATTGTCTTATTAGACCCCCTTACTGTCGTACAACTCGAGCACAGTTGAGTGTTTTATACAGAGGGTCAAAGATGTGGAACAGTCTTTTTCCACAGAATCAGATTGTTCCTCTTAAACTGTTCTGGTTTCTCTTATGGGTTTGAATATTGAAAGTAAWTTTTTCTTCTTTTGTTGCTGTTTATATAGAGTAGTGTTTTATTTTTGTAATGTATAGATTTTTTTAAATGTGTGTAATTTTTGTTATTTCTTTTTCGGAGATTGCCGCTTGTCAAGCCCTTGAGGGTTTTTTGGCAATTCTCCTTCATTTCTGTTTTATTTATTTATTTATTTATTTA